TATAATGTCTATCTCAGTGCCTGTTCTATCTGTAATGTCCATCTCGGTGTCTCAGTGTCTGTTCTATTTGTAATGTCCATCTCGGTGTCTGTTCTATCTGTAATGTCCATCTCGGTGTCTGTTCTATCTGTAATGTCCATCTCGGTGTCTGTTCTATCTGTAATGTTTATCTCGGTGTCTGTTCTATCTCTAATGTCTATCTCAGTGTCTGTTCTATCTGTATAATGTCTAACTCAGTGCCTGTTCTATCTGTATAATGTCTATCTCAGTGCCTGTTCTATCTGTAATGTCCATCTCGGTGTCTCAGTGTCTGTTCTATTTGTAATGTCCATCTCGGTGTCTGTTCTATCTGTAATGTCCATCTCAGTGTCTGTTCTATCTGTAATGTCCATCTCGGTGTCTGTTCTATCTGTAATGTTTATCTCGGTGTCTGTTCTATCTCTAATGTCTATCTCAGTGTCTGTTCTATCTGTATAATGTCTAACTCAGTGCCTGTTCTATCTGTATAATGTCTATTTCAGTATATAATACTATGTTATCTTCTATTTATACATGTAGTATTGATATTGACATCACTGAAGGATCATTGGTAGCTGTCGTTGGTCAGGTTGGGTCGGGGAAGTCGTCGCTATTATCTGCACTGCTTGGCGAAATGGAGAAACTAGATGGTAAAGTGTTTATGAAGGTATGTTAATTACATATTTGACACCATTTTAAAACTTGAGTCTTTATTGATTATTATTAGCACATTATTATTAGTATGGAAGCAAACAATGAGAGTCTTTGCAGTTAGTGTGTCTGTGCGTATGTAAGACTGTTCCACTGATATTTAAAGGAACCATTTATTGGGTTTTGATGACATATAGATACTCGGGGCTAATGTGCATATTTGATTTGTTTTTGGTTGAAATCTGTGCATATTAATTACCTAATTTGCATTGGTAATTTACCAATTTGTATCTGTTCCATGAATGTTCCACTGATATCTAAAGAAGCATTTGGTACACAGATGCTCTGCGACAATGTGCACATTTGATTGGTTTTGGGTAAAAATTCATATATATTAATTTGCATAATGATTCGTCAATTTTCAGCTTTTGCACTGATATCTCAAGTACTAATCATCAAATTTCAATTAATCTTGGTACACCTACCTGGGATGGTCCTCTGTCAGATTTGTTCACAAGTGGATATTTTTGTCATTTATGGTAAAAATTATTTTTTCAACAATCTCTTGCCAAATTGCTGAATGTTGTTGACATGAATCATGCTCAGACTGATTATTTTCATGGCACCATATGTGCAAATGTCTATTCGTAGTGCATTTTTAGTCCCCGGACGCAGTCCGAAAACGGGGACTTATGTTTTGACCT